ATTAATAAATTTGGACACTTCTGAGAACTGCTTTTCCCCAGTCATTTCCTACATGCTTTGCCTTTCCCTTTGATTTAATAGATTTGAAAATAGTCTGGGGGTTACACACGTCCGTAGTCTTTTTTCCAGGCCATCAGTGTTCATCCAGTAGACATAACCTTGTTAATGTGATTCCTTTAACTACTGCTTCTATTATTGTTGCACTTGCCTTCATGTCTATAGGAAGCTGCTTTATATGCAGTTAGACTATTGGTTGTCTAGCTCAGTTTTGTCTCTGTGGCCTGGCAGCAACTCCCCACCCTATGCTGGAACTGCCGGAGATCAAAATTGGGGTCTTTGGCATGTGCCCTTATGATCTAACATTGAACTATAATCCTTCCCTGATCCCTGTAGAGTTCCCAGCTGTAGATTCATATCTCTGTACATTATGTACTCTTAGTCTCCTTATTAAGAAGATTTTTCTTTGGTATGATGAGTTATATCTACAATGTGAATGTATTACATTCAATAAGAATAAGACTATTTGAAAACAAGTGGATTTACTACTTCAAAAATGCTTCATTCTCACTTTTAGACATTGCCCTGGTGGACTTTACGATGTGTGAACATTCACCAGCAGCTGCTAGAAGCAAGATCACCTGAACTGTTTGCTGTTGCGCAGGCTTGTATACAACAAGGTATATTGAAAATTGACACCTATTATTACTGGGTATTTAAATGTTACATTCTCTTCAGATTATTGTTACTGGCATGTATTGAAGATTCTTTGTGTGTTCAATTGTTTAAACTGGAAAGACGAACTTCATAAACAAGTTCATTGTGAACTAGAATAAAAATCAGTTTTTTAAAATAAAAAATCTGATTTTTTAATTTAAATTGGTTTGTTTATTTATTTATTTGTGATATTTATATGCCGTCCTATTGCAAAAGCCTCAGGACGACTTACATAATAAAATACAAATATCAATATAAATAAATTATAACAAAATGTCAACATAAAAAACAACATAAACAAATTGACCCACTCTGTCTGCAGTTAAAAATATAATATTAAAAGTACCATATTAAAACTTATTAAAATATTGATGAAATAAAAAGGTTTTAACCTGGTGTCAAAAAACATATAATGCCAATGCCAGGCGGACCTCTGGGAAGTGCATTCCATAATTAATTAATTAAAACTGTTTTTAAGGAAAAAGCTACCTAAATATAGTTTCCTATTTAAGGTACAGTATAGTCCAAAGGTTATTCATGATGAAATAAGGATTACTTTTTAATTATGTAGAATGAGTCTGTATATTCATGCAATGTTTAAATTTTTGGTAAATGAATTCTATCAATACATTCACATGCTCATGCTCTTCCGGAGGTTTTTGTAAGATTATTGGTCAATTTTTCTATCTAGAAGATATTTCACAGATGCTTGGTTTTACAGTTCTCAAAACTGTGAATGACCTTAATCCCATTGTTGCTTTGTGAATCTACATACACAGAATCAACCCCTTACCTCTTAAATGCTAAGGTTCAAAAAACTGAGTAAATAGAAGATTGTTGTGAGTGGAATAGATCTGCACAAGAAGCTAAGTGTGAGGAGGGAGGGGCAAGCAGTAAAAATGAAGGTGAAACATTTTGAGCAGAATACTCCACAAGTCTTTGGGTCGTTTTCTGTATAACCTGAGGTTTATCATGTTATTCTTTCCCTGGAGGAGAAAACCTATAATGGCACCAGACAGTAAAAGAGATCCAATTTGGAAATATTTTAACGAAGTTCCTCTACTTATGGGTAAGGCAGGCATGTGCGCAAAACCATGACTTAAATCTAGTCTTACCGACTAGTGATGTAAATTGTGATTTAAATTGCTTTGATTTAAATCAAGTCCACCCTACTGTGAACTGTTTTTATGGCTTTTCTTCTAATCTGACAGAACTCTGTAGGAAATAATCTTCTTCCATCATGTGCTTTCTAAATGAGTCTGGGACAACGCACCTGGAACGAATTCTTTGTGATCATAGTTTTGCACCCAGGGACATTATATGGGATCAGGAGAGATGACTTTTACCTCCTTGATTTGACTTTTACCTCTTAAGAAATAATGTAAAATAAAGCCCTTGGATCACCTGACAGCTTTTAGTTTGATAAGTATGCTCCACACTGAAAAGTCAAATGCCTTAATATTTACCAGTCCTGGATTTCACCAAAATGATCTCACCTGCCACCCCTTCCCCCTCCCCCTCCCCACCTTGGAAACAAAGATCAGAATTAGATATTGGGAGGGAGCACAATTTTATACAGCTATGAAATAACCAGATTTCTCCCCAGCAAAAGAAATGCAGAGCTTGTTCATTTTGTTTCATATGTAGAAAAATGGCTTGATGGCTTAAAAATATCAAAACAAATGTTGCTCAAATATTTTCGCTTTTGGTATTCAATTAAAATCGCACACAATCTATAGCTGGCTAGATTGGTAACTCTACAGGGATGAGGCAAGGACTCTAGGTCAACAGTGGATCATACACACATTCCAAGGTCCCAGTTTCAATCCCGGGCAGTTCCAGGATAACGTGGGAAAAGGGTCCTGTCTGAAACTCTGGGGAGCTGCTTTTAAATTTATTTATTTAAAACATTTCTATGCCACCCCCATCGCAACAAAGCCTCGGGGCGGCTCACAAAGAATACATAAAAACATACATAAATAATAATATAACAATTTAAAAGAAAAAAAAATTTAAAAACCCCTGGTGCATTCTCGGCTAAAAATTTTAAAATCCTAATTAATTCAATAATTTAGCAATTAAAATAAGTTTTAAATAAAAAGGTCTTAGCCTGGTGCCGAAAAACAAATAACGACACAATTGATGTACCATGCAGCACATGATGTACCACAGAAATTGGTAAGTTGCTTTCTATGAAAAATATGAGACAATCTTCTCATTTGCTGTTGTAAAACTCAGCAAGGAAGTCCTTGTAAGAATTTAAATTGGAAGAGTGGGAACATAAATCCTTAAAGTTAATTTGGTGTCCACCCAAGTGACCCGATTGCATATAACAGTGCACAGAGATTATCATTGTTTTCACAGACAAGGTGATTCGTTACAGTGGATCTGCTCTAACTGGGATTCATTTGTTATAACCCTAAATAGCAACCTGAAGTTAATTCTATTCTGGCTATCCCTGGTCAATAAAAAGCAAATTTAAATGCTCTCTGGAGTGTTTTATAAAATTTAAAATCTATCTTCAACAGTAGGTACTTGCATAAATGTGCTTGCTTGCTTGCTTGCTTATTTATTTATTTAGTTATTTGGCCTTCTTAAAAGCTAATCACACTCAAATAGCTCCCAGCTCTAGCATCTTAGTTGGCTTGAACCAACATTAAAACTTGCTATACCCCCTTACTTGGCTTAAACCAAGTATTAAAACCAGTATCAAACCAGTAGTAAAACTTGGAACATGTAAAAACTGTACTCTCTGGTAATTTAACAACTACTTATCCAGTTAGCCTTAAAGAATTAGAGTAAGCATTCTGACTTGTAACTTTTTCATATTTTGTCAGTATGAAAGTAAGTGAACAAAGTAAACAATGACTTTTCTGTTTAACATTTCTGTCTTTGCTTTGTGGATAACAGCCAAGCTATGTGATTCCAATTGCTGATATCAGTGGGGCAGGAAAGGGTACTGCTTTAGCATCTGGGGCTTTAACAATAACCTCTGTTCTAAAACAGGATGTGGTTAATACTGATTGTGAAAGTCAAATTAGACCATAAGATTAATCAGCTTCATATGACAACACAGTTTGGTTTGATACCAAGATTTTTCATACTTAAAAGCTGTGTGTTAAATTATACTTGGCAGGTATGCTAAGCATCTTTTTATAGTAATTACATCATTCAGCTATGACTAGTATCTTGTAACTTTCATTTTTCAAACGTGCCATGGAACTCATCCAGTTTCTTAAACAGAAAATCTTAAGTAGATCTATCATTCACTTTGTAAGTAACTTTTTATATATACACTTCCAACTTCTGATGCCAAATACATAAATATCCATCTCCCCTTTGCATTTGAGAAGGTATAAGTATATAGCATCATTGCATACTTAGTATTCTGTGACTCTGGTAGGATTGCATTACTGCCTTATCTTGTCTGTGACCTTGATCAGATGCTTCTGAGAGTTTAAACCTTTTAAAAGTGAACTTTTTTCAGGACATATTTATGCACATGTTTAAGTCATTTTTGAAATGTGTTTTGAAACTTCTTTAATGGACTGCACTAAAAACGAGCCAGTATTTTTGGTAAAACAGAATTTTACAACAGAAATCTCGACTGTATGCTTGATATTTTTAAGAACTGTAGCCACCTCTGTGGTACCAGTTCCTAAAATCCCATTCCCAGTATAACTGTTTGCATGCAGAGTTGGAAGAAGAACTCTTGTATAAGGAAAGGTAGGATATTAAAAGATTTCAAGGCTATCACTAGGTTCCCCAAGGGCATAATGTTTCTTAGTCAGTTTGATTAGGGATGGGATTTGTAATTCCCCATGGACTCAGGTTATCCTTCCCTACAAATCTACCTCACCAAGCTTAACTGTAATGTTATTTAATATGTATTCCACTGTTCTCAGAGCTCCTTGCATAAACTAAAACACTTGGAAAACCAAGAGTTTTGTCTATGTGGTATAGTGGTTAAAGTTGGACCAGAACTTGAAAGATACAGGTTCTAGTCCTGACTCAGGCTTGACACCCACTGGGTGACTTTGGGCCAAGCATGTACTCTCAGCCTAACCTACCTCACATCTACTTTGTTGCGAGGATAAAATGGAGGACCATTTAAGCCATCATGGATTCTTTGCAAAAGAAAAAAAAGCGGAATGTAAATGTAGTATTGAATATATTACAAGCCCTACTTTCCAATTCCAGTTAGCTGTCTCATAATGATGGGCAAACAAGCAGAAAGCATTGTCTAAACTTGTCCTCCAATATCCAGGTAACAGTTTTTAAGGAGGCTATGACATTCAGTTAGTACAATTAGTAGCCTTGCTCTCAAATACTGAAACAAGGCATTTTTTTCTGCCTGTCCTCTTCTTCAGTACTGATTTGTATAGGATGTATACCATCTTTTTCAGTTTTGTGATGGCTTACAGAATGGTCTAAAATATCAAAGCTACAGTGGTGGAAGAGTATAAATAGGTTCAGCATGATTGCAGAAGAAGAAGAAACCGCATGGCTTCTTTGCCCCTCATTGCATGTGCTAGCCTCATTTTCATATTACCTTTGTTGCACAGGTTGGTTATGTCTGATGCTAATTAGGAATGGTGGCTGGAGTGGCTTCCAAACCACACTGAATCCTTAGAATAATCTGTGGGTTTGGGGGTGATTTGGGAGCTTCCACCTCACCCTCCCACCCTCACCCGCTGTGGGAACAGCAGCTTGTACCCAGCACCAGGAATTATGGAAATGAGGGAGCATGTAACCATCACCCACAGGGGAAGCAAAAAGAAGCCACAGTGACTCCCTTTTCTTCCCCAAACATGCAAACTTGGCCAGTAAGTCATTAAGGCCAAGAGCCAGTGTGGTGTAGTGGTTAAGAGCATGGGACTAGGACTCAGACGATCTGGGTTCTAGTTCCCACTCGGCCATGGAGCCAACTGGGTGACTTTGGGCCAGTCACAGACTCTCAGCCCAACCTACTTCACAAGGTTGTTGTCGTGGGGATAAGATGGAGGAGGAGATGCAAGCTGCCTTGAGCCCCTTGTAGGAAAAAGGCAGGATATAAATCAAAAAATAAAAATAAATGAATAAATGAATAAGGATGAAAAAACAGTACTGCACTAGTTAATTCCCATAGCCCACCCTGCACACACTCCAATCAACTTTGGAGCAGGACCATTCCATCAGTGGAAGGGAACCCTGAAACAGGTGAAAACAAGATGGAATGCTAGTTAAAATTGCTAATGCTTAACCAAATAATTAAAATCATTAAAATGATTGAGTGAGAATAAAAACATAACCTGTCATTTTAAAGATGTCTATTATTTAGACATCTTTAGACATGTCTGTTATTTAACTTTTGCATATCCTATGTTTGTTGGGTTTGCTGAACATGGCAGTTCCCGAGCAGGGGTTGTATATTCAGAATAGAGGCCACAGGCACCTTGGATGCACTGCAGCATCATTGTGGGTTAAATCACCTGTGGTGGGCTGTTGTCCTGTCTGAACAACCCACTGTATTCTTTCCTGTGCATTGTGCTCGATTAAGGCAACTTATTCTTTCTTTAAGATATTTGTACGTTAGATTACCAGGATAAAGTTTTATCTCTTTCCAGGTCTTCTGAAAGAAGTATTGCTTACCATATAAACAGATCCTTTAAAACTTGTACATGAAATCCCAAGAATAACTGAGCCACCTTAAATGTGATGTTTAGCTAAGTTGCAAATTCAGTATGTTTTTGTATGGTGTTGCTTCTCATGATATCCCTTCTTACTATGTCACTTAATCGCTTCTATTATTTGTTTTGTGTTGCAGTGTTTGAAATTGAGACTTTGTTCACCGATGATGAATGTTGGCATCTTGCCGTTCAGTTCCATCTAGAGTGTGCTTACACGTTTTTGAATTACTATGAATATAAAAAAGCTAAAGAACACTTCCTTGCAGCTAAAGACATAACAAAATTGCAGATTGATTTGACAGGTATGCTTCTGTTTCAAATTCTTGATCATTAATCATTAGTGTAAGTGTGGCCTACTGGCTAGGTGATGCACTGGGACTTGGGAAATCAGGGTTCTGGTCCCCACTTGGCCGTGAGTCTCACTGGGTGAGTGTGGGCCACTCCCTGACTCTCAAAATAACCAACCTAACAAGGGTGTTGTTGTGAGGATAAAATGAGGAGGAGGAGGAGAATTATGGTATGCCACCTCTGGTTCCTAGCAGGAAAAAATGCAGGATATGAATATAGTAAAACCAATAAATAAATACTAACAAGGTTTTCACTATATGAAGGTTTTTAAAAAGAAGACAATTTTTCAATGTGAAAGAATGTTTCTTTGGAACATAAACTCTTTATTTGGAATTTCTCATGTTGCATTGAGGTATTCTCCTAATTGAAAGGATGCTTGAGTCACATAATTTTGAGTCCAATTTGTAACAATTTCCCATCATTTTAAGCATACTTGTGCTTCTTTCAGTTCTCGTGTGTTATTTAAATGTTTGTTTAAAATATTTATATACCATCTTTAATCCATACAGGAACTCAAGATGGTTTACATAAAGACAAGGAAACAACAGTAAAAAGGACAAGAAAACAACAATAAAATCATTGGCATCAGGTTTTAGCCTGGTGCCAAATTGAATACAGGGTCATGTCCAGGCGTCCCTCTCTGGGGAGCAGATTCTACAATTGGTGCTACCACTGGAAAGACCTTTCCCCTGGTAGCCACCCTTCTAGCCTCTTTCAAAGGGGGCTCCTGGAAAAGGACCTCAGCAGATGATCTTAGGGGTAGGGGCAGGTATAATTGGGATTGTTTATTTTCTCTTCATCAGCCTACATATGTTTGTTTAAATAATGGTTAACAGGTTATATTGCGATCTGGGCACTTTTCATAACTGTTGGCTTACAGTGAATACAGTTAGATCCAGAGGCAATTAGATTTGTGTCCTGCCTTTGCAACACATGGTGCTCATAATAGTTGAGACCAATATTGCAAAAATAATGTATAATTCCATGTCCCTTTAACACATTTCAATAAAATCACTTCAGAATCTATATGCTTGTAGCAGATTGGCCTGTACTATGCAAATTATCATCATAACTACTACAACCATGGTACTTGGGTTCCAAGGAAGGCCATTCTAGTCTTCAAGCAAACAGCTCACCATGGTACTATCATTACTGAAAAATGTTGATCAAATAAATCAGGGGTCTCAAATTCGCAGCCTGCGAGCCAATTGCCGGGACGGGCAGGGCACAGGGGAGGGGCCCTGCGGCCTTCAAAGCGCCGGTGGCACCCGGGCCGGCTGCGGGATGAGCGGCCCACCACCACCGCGGTGGTGGAATACTTGATGCGGCCCAGCCTCACCCCGACTCTACTTCCAGCGGCCCCCAGGTAAGTTGAGTTTGAGACCCCTGAAATAAATCGTATCATATATGTATATACACTGCAGACAATGATTGGCCTTTGTGATTTGCCTGTCTTACAGCAGGGTTGGCTCTAGGAACAAACTGTGCTTTAACACCAGCAGTTAAAGCTGATTCTCAAGACGTGAGCATAGCCACATGGAAAGTTGTGAGCAAAAAGATCTGAATGTGTAAAAATCTGATAAATGTCCATGTCCAAGGGGAAAAGAGTAGCTTGTGGGAATTCTTTCTAGATTCACCATAAGTGAAATTAATTACAAGAGGCTGGGGTACATCCCATGAAGTCACACAGCCTGCCATGTTGAAGAGCTCCTCTTCCAAACAAACTGTGTAAGATGTGTTTGAGATGTGACTATTGAGAGAAGGAGGTGATTGCAACGGGTGAAAGGATTAACCCATTCAACAAAATGTTGGGAGAGTCTTTTAGCAGCCACCGCCAGCTGCTAGCTCTGTCTTTCAGTTAAAGAATGACTGCAGTTCATAAAAAAGTGCTCTCCTTGTCAGTTGGACACGGGAAAAGGATGTGAGGAAGGCTTCCTCAATCTAGTCCTTTCCTGAAGTGTTAGAGTGTAATCCCCATTTTTCCAAGTCACGAATTATGAGAGTGCATCCCAACACATCTAGAGAACTTAATTGGGAAAAGCTAATGCAGGGTGCAGCAACTCCTGATAGATGGGTAAAACATTGCTTCCTTTGAAGAATTTGGAAATGCAATCACTTTTTGGACAGTTTGTTTGTAAAAGGGTTCAGTATTCACTGTCTAAAATATTTGTTTTTCTGTGCTACTTGGTCACTCAGTATTTATCATTGTCTCCTAATTATTATGGTATTTGCTTTGTTTTGTTCCACTCACTTTCCCCACTCTGCACAATTTCCCTTATTTTGTCTTTTAATTGATATACTTTGTGAAATGTGTTACAGTCTGGAGGAGTAGCCAGCAGTGTGGGATGGGTTTATTGCTTGCAGCTGGTAAGTTTGGGCAAAGTTTCTAGAGTAAGCATTAGTACAAGACACAGCTGTGGTTTGTATATACATGATTAGATTGGGAGGTTTTGCCTTTTGATCTCTAGGTTGAACTCTCTGGTTTTAATCACTGTGGCCTAACTAAGGTGCAAATTGCAAAACTATTATTTACATTACTTAAATGGAACAGAAGTTTTCATTTGTAGATGAAGTGTGTGCACTATTGTGCTTGCTCCCTCCCGCCCTCCACACACACACACACACACACACACACACACACACACACACACACACACACAGAGAGAGGGGGGGGGAATGGATAGCTAGCTAGCTAGCTAGATAGATAGATAGATATACATATGTACATTTAAAGACATAGTGAGAATGGTTTAGTTCTTTTAAGAATTGCAAGGTACCATTTAATTAGGAATCGTGATAATTTACAAAAGAAATAGAGAGTCATCCCTTTATGCCTATAGAACCTAAATGGGTTGTTGCCTTTATCTACAAATTGATGAGTAGCTATCTGCTGATCCATAGGATAACAAGGAACCTGCATATGCGCATGTGTTGCATGCAGGTTCATTCCCCGCTTTTCTGCTTCAACAGCAGCCTCAGAAGCAGAGCTAGGAAGGAACCTCCACTGAAATTTTGGAAAACCACTGCCATAGTCTACTAGGTTTGACTAATGTCTTGACTTGCATACAGAGTGCCTACCAGGTGCTTCATAATATCTAGTGTCATGATCCTGGTGATGCCAACCGGGAGAGTCCAGAAGAACAACTGCTGTTGAGACTGGGACTTTTGAAAGCCTTTTTTTTTTTTTTTTTTTACTAAGTGTGTTGTTCCTGTTTTTGTAATGCTGCTTCTCTCGCACTTCCTGGGGCTGCCCTTTCTCTTGGGTTAGGGTCTGTTAAAGTCCCTTCCTGTCAACATTGCCTACCTGCAGAACCTCACCATGAATTTTTATGCATTGGAAATTAGTTTAATTAATGGTAGAACTCATTAAATGAAGTATTGACAATTATGGCCAAATGTGCACTTTCTTGCAGTTCTTTTTTTCAAAGTATCAGGTTCTGTTTGATCTGTCCTTTCTGGGTTGCCTAGGTGCTTCTTTCTAAGACATGATGTTGCAGACTGGAATATCCTATTGTTCAGAATGTGTGATAAAGAGTGAGACACTATCCGAACAAGCAACCATGGAGGAAATCCAGAGCATGTATGCCATATTAAGGTGCATTAAATGAAACTAAAACAAAGTGGTTGCTCTGTTTGTGCTTTCCAAGCATATGGCTTAATAGTTCAATAACAACCTGATATGAAACAAAGAGCAGAGTATAAAATAAATTCACATTTGTTTAAACCTGTCCTGAGTATTCCAGCTTCAAGAGCATTGATCTTGATATAATTGTCACTGCACAAGTAACCTGTGAATGGTTGGAAGGTGCAAGAGTGGTAATTTTAAAGAACAGGTTAGCACCTGATGTATTTTAAATGATTTAATGTGAAATGTTGATTTGAAATGGTGAGTTGTGTGAACATCATAAGCTAACACTTTACAGCTCTGCAGTCTGAAGCTGATTTATTGGGTGGCAGCATAGAGATTAAAATATCTGAAAAACCCTACTTAAGAGCATTTCCACATAACTTAGAACACTCAACTTAAAACACTCTGCCTTTTGCAGAGTGAGACTGTTCATCCATTTATTCCAGTGTGGGCAACCCAGACTGGCAGTGGCTTTTCAAGATTTCAGCCTGAGTTTTTCCAGGCCTCCAGAATCTTGGATCTGATCAATAGGCCATTGAAAGTCAGTGCAAATAATACAAATGGTGTCAGATGCTAAATGGGGATTTCCTTCTAGAAAAATAGCTTCAGAATAAGATCATCCTCCAGGCTGCTGCTGGAGAGAGAAGGCTTGCATTTTCCCTCTGTGATCCTGGAAATCATATCCCCTTCCTTAGATTTTTGGCATTTCTAAAAACATGCACATTCATCATGACTAATTCATCCCTCAGTTGGGTATTCATGTGAGGTAGCCTTGACCACAATAATGTTGTCAGATCTGTTATGTCTGGAGATCTCCAGGCTTCAGTCTCTGACCAGATTTGTACAACATAAGCGTGGATAATGTGTCATGATGGCTTGTAAGCCACCTCTGAGCAACCTGAATGATTCTCACTTGCTTACTCTCACCGGGAGCAGGTTGTCATCCTGTCTGAACCTATCAAAGGCTGGGGTCATTAATATCACCCAGCAAACTTACAACAACAACCAACCATGGGACCTGCGTGGCTTATTAAATACCTATGTATTGTGCATACTGCCTGGTTCAGCAGGTTCAGACATCACACTCTGAACCACATTGTCTTGTTTAGCTGATGGCGGTAAGCAGAACTTGCCTGTGTCAGAAAGAGAACTTGTTGCTCTCACTGTGAGCTAACAAAGGCCTTGCGTAAGTGCTTTAGTTCTGTGGAAGGAGAGGGAAGGGCATACTTTATACCTGTGGTGGTATATCACTTAAAAAATAAAAATAATAAAGCCAGGAAGGATGGAAACCATTGCCTTCCAGCTCATTTTGAACCTGTTCAGTAAAGAAAGTGGTGGCATTCAAAATTAACACTAGTTAAACATGTTGATGAAAGATGTTAGGAGCTGATATATATTGTTTTAACTCTATATTTTGGTGATTTACCTTAAGGATGAGTAGCTTATTTGCTGGGTTTTGTGTTATGTCTTACAGCATTTTGCATGAACACAAGTTTGAGTTAGAAAAAGTTCTGCAAGAATAAAAGGAAAAATAGTTTTCTATTTCAATTATGGATATAGGCAGCATTGTCAAAGTGAATGTTTTATGGGATAGCTACATCTGTATTCAAAAGGGATCAAACTAAAGCATTGATAATCCATAATTTAGTAATTCCACAGTGCTATAATTAAGAGAAACTTACTTTGTTTATTATACTGTAACTAAAACTGTAGCATCTCTAAAAAAGTATATGGTAAAAATATCACCAGAACTACTTCATTTCATTCTTAGAGTATACTTATATATGACAAATTAAACATTTGATTGGTTTTGTTTGTACTTGCTTAGCTATGTTTGAAGATTGTAATTGCAATTGGAAATTTTGCTGGTAGGCTAAAATAATTATTTCTATAGTTTTATACATGTGTGCACATGTTTAGCAAATTAAAAACACAAAACAAAATGGTTAGCCTGGAATCAAAAGTTAACAGCAGGGGTGCTACTGTCAAAACATCTTTCACCAGGCCCTACCTACTTTATTTCTAATAGCAAATGCTCACACAGAATGGTTTGTGATACACATGGATGGAAATTTTTCCTCACACTGGTCTCTATACCTGGAAAGCAATGTTATTGAGTTAGGAAAAGTACAGAGAAAGACAACTAAAATGATCAAGACATTGGAGCCACTCCCCTAGGGGAAAAAATTGCAAAGGATTGCTTGTCTTAGGAGAAAAGCAAGTGAGGGTAGATATGATAGAAATTCAAGATTATGTGGGGTATGGAGAAAGTACAGAGGGAAACTTTTTTTTTTTCTGTCTCCCAGAATACTAGAAATCAGGGCTATCTCATGAAACTGATTGGTGGGAGATTTACAACAGATAAAAGAATTACTTCTCACAGCACATGGTTAAACTTTGGCATTCATTGCCATAGGAAGTTGTGATGGCCTCCAGTTTGGATGGCTTTAAAAGAGGATTGGACAAATTAATGGAGGAGGAGGAGGCGGCTATCAGTGGCTGCCAATCTTGATGTCTTTGTATTGCCTCTGGTACCAGAGGCTGTATGTCTGCATATACCAGTTGCTGAGGGACTTGGGAATGCGGGAACTGTGGTTCCCATTCTGCTCGAGGGATCCTGTGGGCAGCTGGTTTGCTACTGTGTGAACCGAGTGCTGAATTGATTGGACCCTCGGTCTAATCTAGCATAGCTTTTCTTATGTTCTTACGCTTAATATTTTGCAGGTGCTTTGGGGAAAAGGACAAAATTTCAGGAGAAATATGTAGCACAGCTTGTATTAGAAGTTCAGAGGAAAGATAACATCCTTCTTCCTCATCGGGAGCTTAGTCCAGCACCTACTCCACTGGAAGAGTTAACTAAGGTATAAAATGAAAACCGAATTACTTTCTTTTGGAAGGTCAGTGTGAATCCTAACCTACCCATAGATTGCCCATGTGTGTCATATTTCACTGATAGCAACATGGATCTCTGGGGGCCTTTAGCCAGAGGTGCAGTTTGCACACACAGTGGCATTTATTCATTTTGTTATATTCCAACCTTCTCCCCGAAGAGGCCAGGGTGACCAACAACCTGCACAAAGCACAACACTGCACATAAACACCACTGAAATTGGAACTCTAAAATCACAAATACATAATACAAGTCAGCATGACACAAGTCACTGAGTCATCAATGGAATTCTTGTGTTCTTAGGTGGGGAATAACTATTTCGAAGTTCAGAAAATGAGGTCAAACACACTTGCTTTAAAAGTTCAAGTGTACAGATATTATTTTGACAGACTTTTGTTCTTAACTTGCATAACAAAAAGCTGTTTTTTTAACAACCTAGCATCATGAGATGCAAACCAGGTTAAGTGGCGAGGAGCGCTTTCCTTCAGCTTCGGTTAATCCATCAGCTGCATCCCTACCTGGAGGACGATTGCCTAGTGACAGTGACACATGCATTGGTTACTTCCCAGTTGGGTTTCTGTAACGCGCTCTACATGGGGCTGCCCAGTTACTTCAGATGGTGTAAAATAGAGCAGCCAGGTTGCTGACGGGGACTGGGCGTTATTCTCATATAACCCCAGTCTTCTACCAGCTTCACTGGCTTCCCATCGAAGTCCAGGGCTCAATTCAAGGTGCTGGTTATTACCTATAAAGCCCTTAACAGCTTGGGACCTGGATACCTAAAGGAACACCTTCTTCCGTATTTGCCCTCCTGCCCCCTGAGATTGGCAGCAGAGGCCCTCCTCCGGGAACCCTCTGTGTAAGACATTAGGAGGCAAAGTACTCGGAGGAGGGCTTTCTCTGCGGTGGCACCCCGCCTATGGAATGTGCTCCCCGGAGAGGTCCGCCTGGCGCAATCGTTATTTGTTTTTCGGCGCCAGGCCAAGACCTTTTTATTTCAACAATATTTTAATAACTTTTAACTTTAGCTATATAGGTTTTAATCTGCAGCCAGGGTGGATCTAAATTTTATTTGTATTATGTTTTATTTATGTAAGCCGTCCTGAGGCTATGCGAAAGGACGGCATACAAATACTCTAAATAAATAAATAAAAATAAAAGGTATCAGGGTAAAAAACCCAATAACTTCATAGTTACCACACACATGAACAGAGGCTCAGTATGTTTGAAGCCCCTCTGTAACAATGTGCCAGCACATGCTTTCTTTTTTTAAAGTAGCGCATGAATTGCAAGGAAATGGCGCTTTGAACACCCAACACTCTTCTGCAGCTGCACATTGCAGGCACCTTGAATATTCCCTAAAACAGAAAGAGAGGATATAACTGCTTTAAAATAAATACCTCACATGGGAAATTCAGTCTGGTGGACAAACAGTCTTTCAAGAAAGCTTATTTGCCACCATTGAGTTTTCTCATAAACAACACTTCACAATCTTTTAAGGAATCTCAATATTTTCTGCAGCATAGTTAGAAAACCATTAATTTCACAGATTCAGATGACAGGTGAAGAATTTATTTCCAAACTGTTCTTTTCTTTTAAATAACTTTTATTCTTAATTCATAGTTCTACAGTTCTGTCAAGTATTCTGCCTCATATTTAAAAAAATCTTCTTGATTGCAGTTGTTACTCCCAGCCAACAGAATTTTTTCTACTGGTTAGTCAACTTGAGAATTTATATTCCTGGCAAAGTAAAAACCTGATACTGCAGTTCAAGATCTTTATTATTATTACTGCAACTTCCAAACAGATGAACAATTTTAGATGTAATTTATCACTTGTGTGGATTTCCCAACAGAATTTTTCTTTAAATGATGACACAGTGTTAAATGAAATACAGTTTGTGGAATCTCATCAGAACCAGATGCCTGACCTGTGTGCAGAAGAGCTTGCTGTTATTCTTGGAATGTGGTAAGATGATACTGCAGTTCCATCAAGCCCTTTTCATAAATGCCTGGCTACAGCAAGAATATTGCTAGTGAAAAAAACTTCTCAGGGCAAAGGAGGCTCCACATATGTACAGACTCACATGGCTGGATGAGGGGGATTGTAGCACTACAGATCTGTTCTCCTGTGAACATGTACAGCTTCTGCGCTTTGCCTGCTTTGTGTTAGAGCAACGGGCTGCTTTTAAGTATTTTGATTTAATGGCCCTTTTGATCTGACAAAAGAAACTTAAGTAAAATATGTCTGTCACTTAGAAAGTGCAGAGTTTTTGTAGCAGTCTCATGTCCATAAATGTTGAGATTGTATTTCATGATATCTGAAATTAACCAGGTATAGGACATGCAAAAATAGGTTGCATAGAGGGACACTGTGGATTAATTTCATATTCATTTGTTGGTATGTTGAGTTCAGCAAATATATACCTCACATTTTCCTCCAATAATGCCCACCCAAATATTGGGTGATAATATTTATTACAATTAAAAATAATACCCAGTTTATATTTTTTTCGCAGCATAAACTTTCAAAAGAACAACCCAGTCCATAAGCTTACAGAAGAGGAGCTGCTTGCTTTTACATCCGTAAGCAATCTATCTGTATTTTCACTTGAATTTTTTGGAACTTTTTAAAATCTCTTCTTGGTCCATATGTACCCTGCAAAGTTTGGTGGTAGGGCTGTGGTGGTGGGGAACACCCCCACCTCATCCCCTCTGGTTAAGTGGAAGATCTGAAAGGGGCTTCTGTGTACATACAGCTCTATGTACGTATGTAGACCACAAATCCGGAGAAATCTGCTGTAGATTCAAGAGAATTTGAATTTCTGTGAATCTGTCCTGCTAATTCCACAGCCCACTAGCTGTTTCTGAGTTCTGCAAATTCAGCAGACGTGCAGACCAGCTTTTTTTTAACTTCCTGAGGTATGGGTGAAAGGATTTGTGCATTAGCACACAAATGAAATTCTTGTGCAGAAAATAATATTCCATCCATGAATGGAAGATGGAGCAAAAGATTCCTGAAAAGATTTAACAAAATCTGTATATCTGTTACAGATTCTTGTGCACATGAGTAGGATTCACAATCCCGTCTGAGAGTCTATGAACATAGTTTGAATTCAGCATTTCCCACTGCCAATAGAAACAGCCTTTATGAACAGTCCTGCTCATGATGACCTTTCAAATGGGCAGTGGGGAGGATGGTCGGTAGTTCTGGCCTTTCCCCAGTATCACTTCCCACACTGTTCTGGAGGGCCTCCCACTCCACCAGAGCAGGTTTTGTGCGGGACAGAGGGAATTGGAAGGAGGAATTGGCAAAGTCTTCCTTGGACAGAAGGATCCCTTCATCTGCAGGAGACAGACTCTGGATCTGAATCATACAATTTATTCAGAACTATTTCTTGAAAACACTTCTTGTTTATATGCAGAGTTGTTCATTGCTCTACTGTATTCGACTAATGTTTATATGTTATATGCAGTCACAGTCCAGTTTGTGCATGGGGGAGCAGCCTGAGCCAATGAGTAATGTGTTGCCCTTGCAGTTAGCATCTGGGACACATTACTATACCTCTAACCTTAAAATCTCAATTAAATAAGATTTTCCAGGATAAGTGAGATTGCTAAATGTTTTGAAGAGTTAAAATGCTGTGGTGGACTAGAATGTAGGCCATGTCTTCATAAAGCTTTTCCTGTGTTCAGTTTGACATTCTTTGGCAGTGTTCACACAGCCTATGTGAGAGGCTGTGACTGGGAATGTATAGTTTATGGATAGTTTCTTGTTCTTGATATCTGAGGGTCTGATGGATGTGAGTTCAGGCCCTTCCCTGGGAGCACTGACCACATTTCACAGAGTGTAATTACCATGTTGAATATGCAGATAAGTAAAAGACTCTTCTGCCTATAATTGAAATTCAGAAATTGTGTATAGAGATTTCTGGATTTTCAGTGCTCCTTCCTATTGATCAGAAGTTCCATCTGCCTTTGCATCTTTCTCTGTGTGTTCTCTGCTACTTTTTAATTACTAGATGAAGCACAACAGAAAATTCCCACAGTGGAGTTGATGAGAGCATTCTAATCCTGATTTCTAATGTAGCTGTTTTCAAATTATGATTCCAAAAATGCTTGATGAAGAGGGTGGTTTTATGAATTGCTTTTCTGAGCATGCTAAAGTTTTAACTGAATGCTGCTGTAGCAATGTGACCAGGGAAGAGATGAAACATAATAGCACAAGTGTAACCTTGTATGATGTGCTTCATATACAATTTTGTGTGTTCCCTTTGGTAAAACGTCTTGTCTTTAGGGCAAATCTTCCTTTCATAAAAGAAATAAGCAGTATACTATAATTCTGCCATCTAGTGGCTGACTATTTTTTTAAAAAAGCATACAAATATTCATGCTGTTGCTCATGGAAGATCTGTGTGGTTTTTAATTTCAAGAAGACTAATTTTTGCTTGTAGTCATCCATGATACTTGTTGCTAGTTATAACATTTAAGTTCATAGTATTTGTTCCATCATATATTTCACAATAGAGAACAGGCATAGGGAAGATTTTTTTCTGTACCAGCTCTCTAAGCCTTATTGCAATTTCAGGAAATCCAAGTTCTGTCACAGCTATAAAAATACAGCTAAAATTTTTAGTTCTCAGGTTCTTTCTGTCAGGAGCTTCCACAATTTCTACCAACACTGTAGAGCATCTCATGATTGCAAGTACATTTTTGGTTTCTGCAGACACTAATTACAGAAAGGTGATTAGTCAGTAAAGTCAGGGTCGAAATTTGACCTTCACTCCTCTAGCATCATATACACTGTTGTGTGTATGTGTGAGCAGGCATCTTCTCAGCCTACATGTGGATTCCTAAATCTGCAGGCTGGTTAGATGGTTGTCATACATTCATCTGGTATCTGCTTAAATATAAGCTAACCTGAAGAAGGTAGGCCTTTCAAGAAACCTTGAACCATCAAAATCTATGTAGATCCATTAAAGTGAATCATGAGTCACCTCTTCAGTATGCTCATTGTGGGTCAGAGCTCTATTACCACATTATTACCATAGCACAAGAAGTCCAGATTAAGGGGAATTATACTTTGCTGGACCCAGTGATACTTAAAATGTATGTGTTTTATGTTAAACATCTGCTCTTGAAGAAGAGGCTTGTATATCTGAGTCTTCAGCTCTTTGCATCCTCTTCTCCCTATTGTCCCAAGCATCTTACAACAACTGGAAAAACAATCAGCAATATTGGAAGGAATTTAAACAGTTTCATTAAAAAATAGCAGTGAGACTCATGTATGCAGTTTCTTCTGTTTTGTCTGTTATGTACTTCTGTACCCTTAGTCATCTAACATATGCCCCAAGTAGAGACACACTGGAATGAGAATTTATGCTTTAGTTCTGTTAAACAGTGTAGACGGGAATCTACTTCTAGGGCAAAGCTGTGTTTCAGAATTTGGCTGCATTCCAAAGGGAAATCTTAGGCCTGTCCAAGGGCTTGCTGGAGCTTACTGCTAGGACCCCACTATGTCAAACTGCTCTTAAAATTGCTTTGAACTCCAAAAACAGCTTGTTGTGTGCTACAAAAGGCTACTGTTTAAGAAATAGAAGTCCAAAGCATTACCAATAGATTTTTGATGGTAGCTTTGTGTGTGATTGTGTGGAATATTGACTGAATGCAGAGGATAACAAATGTCCATTATTTGATAATCCCCCATTACTTTACAACAGCCTTTCCCAACCTGGTGGCCTTCAGAGGCATCTGGGAGACTCAGCTCCCAGAATTCCCATCCAGCAAGGCCATTATTGACTGGGAATTCTGGGTGTTGCAGCCCAAGCATGTCCAGGAGGCACAAGGTTGTGGAAGGCTGCTTTACATTTATTTAAAACACATTAGTTACTTTCTAGACACCAGTTTTGCGAACTGTGGCTCATAGAATAAAACTTACTTGAGAAAAATGTTGCTTTTAGCACAATAAAACTAGGATGTCTAAATAAGAAACCAACACCCAGAGTAGGTATTGGTTCTAAAAATTTATAAAAAAGAAAAAAACTTTCTCTGTGTATGAGTGAACTGTTTGCAGTGAAGGAACATATGTTCAAGTCAACAGATACAGTGTGTTGGGAAGCAAAGACACAGCTTCCAGATCCTGCTGTTCAAAGCAAGACTGCACATGTTGTAACTTTTACTGGACACAAATGTGCTCTGATCTTGTATTCTTTGCATGGAAGGATTATGACTGTTCATCATTAACAAATAGAAATGGAAAAAAGAATTAAAGGAAATGAGGTCAATGAGCCAGGATGGTACAAACATAGGACATCTAGACATATATAGACTGCAACCATAACGATATGCACCTGACAATAATTCCCATTGAACTCAGTGGATTCAGTGGGACTCAGCTATACTTCTGTGTAGGCATGTTTAGAATTGTAATGCACTGTTATGCAGAGGTTTGGATATTAAGGTTTTACTCAGGAACTCCAGTCATGGGACATTCCTGCTAGCGGATGTAGGGTAGCAGAAATTGACAGATTCCTTCTGCTTCATCCTGTTCTCCTGCAAACCTGCTATGGAAGCTCGGGAAGCCTTCCAAAATGGCATAGGAGACAGCATGGTGGAAAGGAAGATTTGCAAAAATGATCAACCTCAGAATTCATGCCAGAACCCTTAAAAATATATCATCATCAATATTCACATTTAATGGAAAACTTAGGTTACAGTTTCTCAAACAGGATGAAGTCTAGTGTTTTTTAAAGAAATTTGCCCTGTTGAGCTTTATCAAACCTTTGAGATAGAAACAGTTGCTTTACTATTATTTGATTATTTTAAAAACCATTAAGAATATTTCTTAAGAAAATAATTTAGAAAAATTGTAAGTGAAAACATAAACACAATTTAAAGGTTCATGTTTATCCTTTTAACTGGAAACGAGTTAAGCTATGTTTGCCTGGCTTTATTTGGTTATGGGTGAAAACAGTGATGAAAACAATTCTTGATTTGATAAATTTACTTTTTAGTTCCTAAAGTCATATATAGTAGAATAAAAAAACCAGGTAGGAATGCTAGCTTACATCTATTCTTCAAATATTTTCAACTTGTATAGGAAACATTTAATTATCTTGCAATTTAAACTTTGCCTTTCTGTTTGATTTTTGTTGCATGTCTCTACTTGCTTGATGAAGCATAGGAAAACATTAAAAATCAGATAACAGACTTTAAAAGAATAAGATCAAGGGAAGGGAGAGCTGTGAAAACTGATAGAATATTGTCTGGCTTGAAGATGAACCAGATGGTGAACTAGTCCTGCATTCCACTTTTGTTGATCCTTATTTTTCATAAGTATTCAAATCCTGTTGACCTATGGGAAGGGGAAAAGTTTGTACATACTTTTTCTCACCTCTGCACTTCTAGTCTAATACATATCATAACTTCCCCCATGACTCATTTTTAAGCATTCCCCATCACCCATTGTGCTATAGATGAATTAGCTGGGATATGTTGTTAATAAAAATAGGTTTGGGTTGCATCCAAAGAATCATGAGCAGAAGGAAAATAACAGCTTGCATTTTTTGCTAAGCATTTGCAACATC